CAGCATAATTTTGAATGGATGAAAATTTGTTATTAGAAAATAAAAGAGTTTTTTTTATTATTCTTATGCTGCGCTATCACATTAGGAAAGCTCAGTTCTAATAACTGAACTGAAATGATTAATATTACATATTGAAGAAAAAAATGAAACATAACACAATGAATATTAGATACCTTAGAGATGAATAATAACTAAAAAATTATCGGTCAAATGTCGAGTCAATTCATGTCCAGACTTGTAAATGAAGAAAAGAAGGTTTCATAAGTTTTGAGGTTCGAGAAACTTAATACTGAAAAATTCTTTTTTGATCGCGTTTTAACTGAAGAAGATAGTGTTCAGTTTGAATATATTTGGCTCATTCAAAAAAAAAACAATTTATATAAGGAATATTAAAGGATAGAGTTTTTACAGAACAATTTTCGGGCTTTAACCAGTTCATGATAAACTTGAAAAACGAATATTAAAAAAAACGATCGATAAAAAGCCTATGAGACTTGAAAAAATAACAATAAAAGTAGCGAAGAACTAACTATGTAATATTGTAGAACTTTAAAAAAAATATTAAACACCGTTTTTCGAATACCTTTCTATAAGTTTTAGCTATACTAGAAAGTTTTTCAGACACACTTAGAATGGAATAAACTACGTTTTAGTGTAGTTTGAACATAGTTTGTTACAAAAATTTGTAGAAATGAGCAAAAGAAAAATTGCTCACTTGCGAATATTCTAGAAAACTTCTTAGAACTTAATGAATAATACATAAATAAATGTCTCCATATATATCTATGTAATGACGGAAGCTCGACTTCGATAACTAAACACTATTGACAGCTATTTGAGAAATGGGAGTTAGTAATTAGAGCAAATCCGGCAAAAATAATCAAATATAGCAAGTAGACAGTGTTCAATATGATATTGATCAGAGTTTTTGACGAAGTTCATCAAGATACTCTTGATTGTCTTTTACTTCCGAATGATCAGTTCCAAATGCACGCCGTGCAATATCAACTGCATACTGTGCATGTTGAACAGCTTCCTCAAATTGATGGAGACCATCCAATGCTGTTGCTATGTTGCGATGAGTCGCGATTAACGATGGATGATTCGGTGGAAACGATTTCTGTTTGATTTCAAGAGTTTTCTCAAGAAATGAGAGTGCCTTTGAATAGTCCTTTCTTGATTGACAAATCCCGCTGATATTGCTGTAAGCAGTAGCCAATGATGGATGACGTGGTGGAGGATGAGCGAGTTTGATTTCTAGTGCACGCTCATAATTTTTTAGTGCTTCATCATATTTATCTTGTTGTTTCAACACAAGACCAATGTTGTTGTAATGAGTAGCGATCTGAAGCTTATCAGGTTCAGAGACATGAAGATCGATGTTGAGCGCTCACTGTAAACATTCTAGAGCTGCATTAAGATCGTTCTGTTTTTTGTATATATTCCCAATATTTGAATATGTCGAAGCAAGTGAAGGATCATCGGGAGATAGATAGGTCAGACTAATGTCGAGAGATTCTCTGTAATGAAAAAGAGTCTTTGTTAGATCGCCCTTTTCGTCATTAACATATCCAAGTTGATGATGACACACAGCCTTTGTTCGCGCACCGTCTTCAGATGCTCCATCGAGTAATGCTTGGAAGACTTCTTCGGCCTTATTGAACTCGCCCATCTTAATCATTAATTGACTCAATCGATGCCATCCTGTTCCCGATCCGATCTCTGCTCTTAAGCGTTCTGTGAGAAGCTTCAATTGTTGATCATTATTACCAGTCGATGCTAATGTTATTTGCCACAGTCCGTTTTCCACCTGTTCAATGTCACCTATCCGAAACACAGTATGCTTAATAACTAATATTGTTTAACTGAGCAAAAGGAGTCGAAGTGAGCGTTGGATTGATTTCTATTCAAAAAAGAATTGCCGTCAAAGTCGAATTGTATTGTGCCATTTTAGCAAATTGTAGAGAGATTTGTCGATCAGTGCTTGTCGATAAGAAATTGTTGAAAGAAAGTAGACTGCCTTTACTCTTTCTAATCTTTTCGAATTCATCATGCAACATCCCTTGACCACGGTAAACCGTCAGTAAACACTGTTTATTGCACGTCGAATAAATTTGTTCGATTTGTACATGTAGATCGCGTATGAAAAACCCCATTTTAATATATAAAATATTAAAAATTATGAAGTGTGGAATTTCTGAAACGCTAGTAATGAGTAGAGTTGTTGTTTATGGATTTTTAAACAGTAGTCCATATGGCCTTATTGCTTTCTCGTCAAATACTCGCCATGCCATTACAATGCGTACTGGTTCCTTATGTTCTCTGAATTTTACAGGTTGAAGTCGACATTGAAACACGACCTGATAGGTTTTCGTTTTGCCAATGGAATCTTTTACTGTAAATGTAGGCTATGTTGCGAAACCTCTCCTTCACAATGTGTTGCCACGTATAATCCTTTAATATCTGAAATCGATGGATTTAACCGTTTTGCCTCATCTGCCTTCACGTCCGTAGCAATCATTAATCTGTAATACCTCTTACTGCAACCGACTTTGTCCCACGATAAGCTACAGTCCATTCACCTCGAGAATTGTTCATACCCAGCCAAACTTGATCACCTGGATATTTATTGACAACTTAAAGTGCATGCCGATGCCATCTCCTTCTGGAAAATAATACGGATGATCACATCTTATCCCTATGTTAGCATGAGAATAAGCACAATTGTAACGAGATTCAAAGTCGAATTCTTTCAACTGCTTCATGGCATCGGGACAAAAGCGTGTGGGTGTGGATGTGGATATGGGTTGAGTGTATGACTGTCTTCAATCATACGACTCACCCCTATTCATAATTTGGATGAAGTGACAAAATTATAAGATAAATTATTCTCTTGTGTATGCCATCGAACTTCATGACAGGTTTACCCGCGACACATATTTCCCAGACAACTTCTTCCCATATTTGCATCTCCATTTCGTGATTCTCACTGAAACTGGTATCAGTATTCTAAACTATCCTGGAAGCAAACGTCTTGGAAGCAGCTGTCAATGAAGTAAGATGACAACTAAACAGAAACAGCCAAGAGAAGATCATTTCAAGAAACTTTTTATACTTTCATACGGTTCAACACTTCATGAACCCTTGTGAGACGTTTTAAAAGTCATGGTTTTTCTATATACGAAATATGCTTGCCGCCTAGCACGGTTATGATTGAAGATAAAAATGCTAATAGAATTCTTAAGATGAAGATTCACAAATATTTTCAGCAGTTCAAGTTGATATTTTATTCATAAAACGAATACTGCAAGGTTATTTGAATTCTAGAAGAATGCTATCAGATATTTTGCTTTTTTTCAATGATGAAAGTTTCCCTAGATTCTCTATTCTTACGAACCAGTGATCAAAACTCAATCGAATACAAGTAACAGTACTACGGATTGGAAGTGAATGAAGCATTTTTCAGGTGCGAATGAGTCGAATTAAATTTAAATCGGTATTTTCTTATGTGTTTTAATCTCTATTACTCACTCATCATAATCTTACGTCGTTGAAAAATAAAGCACAGAAGATATTAATCGAATTTCTTTTCGTTTCGTTTTTAACTGACGAAGCTTTCTTTTTTTGAATGAAAAAAGCAACTAATTTCTGTATGCAATTCTCGTTTGTTGGTTCGATGATACATGATGTAAATATTTGTTATTATAAGTATAACTTAGTTGCAGGCATATTTTGCTTTCTCACATGCAGAACAGAAAGAAAGATTTCATTCGTAATTATACAATATTTTATTCACAAATAACTAACACATGCAGGTGTAATTGTTAGAGTGTAGAGGTGTAACGATTCTAAATAGATGAAATATTCAACTTTTTGAAAGCTAATTTATACACAAAGTTCGTGAGGTTGAGCATTGTTTATCGAAATTCAAGTACTATGCGTATGAGTGGAAGTATCGTTTAGGGTGTGCATACGAGTGATAGGAGATGTAAATGTAGAAGCAAGCTAAGCAAAGATAGTCGCATAATCTACACCCATACTCTTCTCACTTTGTTATACAGAAGATAAAACGATCTTCAAAGTTATTTTTTCATAGCCATCGTATCGAATTATTCATAGTTCAGCAAGAATTGCCTGTCCTAGATTGCCTATGTTTTTCGTTTGCTGTTCTGTTCACTAGTTTAATTCATCTCTTTTTCATCCCTTCTTTATCTTTATGATAAGTATAATTGCTTGTCATTAACGTTTGTCTTAATATTCTTATCAACACGTATAAACATTTATAAAAATTATATAAATGGTTAAGTAAAAACTGCTTCGTACTAATGATTTCCTTCTAACTTGAATACCATCGTTTCTTTTCAATTATCATCTATTATGATGTATATGTTCTTGCAAATTGGAAGTTTCTGAATACATATTTACCCTTGTGAATCATGTGTATGAGTCTCTACCTGCACTAATTTGTAACATTTAAGCTACAGGATGAAAAAGATTCGTCTAATCATTGATAATGACTTTGTCCGATAACGATGCAATTTCATTGTATATACTGCACTTAAGTGGCATTGAATAGGTACATCAATGATCACACAACTAAGTTACTTACATCGACAATCACTGCGTTCCTTTCGGCTAACAATATTGTTGTTTGCAGAATATTTTTTTTTTACAAAGGTCTTCAAAGTATGTCTATATTTTCGAGAAATAAAAGTATCAAAATAATTGTGATTCCTATTTGCGTTATTAGCTGGTTGTAATCTGCTCTTCTTTTCTTACTTTACATAATTATTGAGTTTGTATATATTTTGACACACCTCTTAGGTCGTCTTTTAAAAAATATAACAAAACAAAATAACACATATAGGGTTTTTTGAAAGATTCGAGGAAATTGCATAGAGTCACATGATCTGTTTTTTTATTTCATACAAATTGTAAGAAAAACATCGTTGATAGGTGAAACAAAATAATCGGCTGCATATGCTGAAGACATCCTTTCAAAAAACAATAGGTTTTGCTCAGATCGTAAGTTATTTTTATTGTAATATGATTTAGTTCAAAGCAAGCACAAAATTAAGAAAAGATGCGACAACATTGCTGACGTATATTGTAACAAGAAGCTTAGCCAAGGACAAAAATGTCATTCTACTCTCAATTTTAAGTTCATAAAATTTTAAAATTTCGATCGCATGAGTACAAGTATAGGTTCTTTTTCTAATGAATACGATTCTGTGATGCAACTCTTATGTCATGAATATGTCGAGCTGATTTTATTTTTCGATATAATTGCATACCATTCCAAACAATAAATCGTAAGCTCATAGTTAGTCCACCATAGAGAGAAAGCAGTGATGTAATCACATACAAAACACCTCTACGTTGACTATATTTGTAATTGCAAATAGTCGGTGCACATGCAGCATAATAGTTCTCATAGCTCGTGATATTTTCCCACTTTTCGATGAAGAGCTCATCGATAATTTCACCAATCGGTGTGACTGATGAAAAACGGGATGATATTGATTCGTTTAGTGGATTCACAACCGATGGAAGTACTGCAGGTAAACTAAAATTGAACGACTCTGATTTATCCGGCAGTGTATAATATTCCAAATAATTGAGAATAGTGTTGATGCAGTTCGATGAAAAGAAACATTCGAGTGTTGACATACGTAATCCATCTATTGGCAAGCAACCGACAAAGAGACCGGGCAAGATAAGATCATAAGGACCAATTCTCAATGGTGCTTGACATTCGCTAGAAACAGCGCAATTGCATGTGCCATTAGCATACATGACTGGGACATTTCTCCAAACATAGTCATTGGATGCATTTCCATACTCTATTGACCAATCACTGTTGAAAGCCGTCGGAATTAAATTGACTTCAAGTATTGCTGTGGTTGCATGTCCTAATCGTCGAAAATCGAGTGGTGTTCGCTTGATTAGTTCATTGATGATTACATTCACCTGTGATACAAAGAGACTTCGAGACAGTACTAGCGTATTCACCAATGTTGTCATGTTAAAGTTAGATACGAGATGGTTCACAAGATTTTGCGATACATTACAAAGGCTGTTCATTATCTGATGCTGTTTACTGAGGAGAGGTCGATCAAGTTGCAGATAAATTTTGACGTTGGGTCCATAACCGTATAAGGATGTAGTCCATGATGAAGTGATGAATGCACTCGAGCATACCTATATCAAACGAAGCATCTGTGATTAAAAGTGTATTTATACTAATGAATGCATCGAAATTTTAAGTCAATGTATTCTTTCATTTTGTGCACTTTCAATATTGAAATTCGAAAGGAAATGTTGGACATTTCGTATTACTTATAGCTTTCAAATAATAAAAATAGATGTTTTGTTCACAGATATCTTTACATAGAAAGTAGCTGCTGGCAATATGCCTATGATCGAATAAGGCAAGTTCAAATATCATCACTAAACGACTTAGGTAAAAGTTTTGTATTTACCGTTCGAACAAATTTGACAAGTCCTTTAAAAGTTTCAAAGCTGCTTTCAAAAAAAAGTTGACACAAAATTTTTTGCCTTATATTCTAAAAGTTTACAAAGTTCTGATAGTTTTCTGAAGTTTTTGATTCGTCTACAAATATTTACAAATAGATGAAATAAAAAAGAAAAAAATACATATTGTCTAGAAACTTTTAATCCATCAAATTTCTTGAAAAAGACGTGTATGATTGTGTTTGTAGAGTTTGGGTAGAAATGATTGAAAGACAACCCTCACATTCACGCCTTTCAGAGAACATATAGAATTTACTAATTAGTTGAGTCCTGTTTCTGCACCCTATGAATAACGAAGTAATTAGGTCACTCTATACACGGAGTATAAGGCATCAGCTACATATACCTACATAATTCACATATTGTAGAGAGACTGGTACTCTATTTGCATGATCCTTTTATCACTAGCTCTTTCGGAACTGTTGAAAGTGGTAAAGATTTAGATAATGTTGGGCTTCTATAGATATTTTTTGAATTAAATCTTTGAAATATTCTATTAGAAAACATTATGTTAAACTAATAAGACAGAAAGCTTCGTTTTCGTTTCATCACAATCTTCTGAGCAATTTCTATAAATCTGTAATAAGAGACACGGTAGGAATATTTGATGTGAATGGAAATGTGTTGTCATGTACATCAAAGGAGTGTTAAATTTCTATTCTTGATATTGATACGATTCGAGATAGGAATCGGTGCACACCCAGTGTATTGTGAACAGTCAAAGAAGTATCGTTCCGAAGTGGTGAGAGAGGATTTCATAGATAAAGTTGCAATAGAATAATGAATTTTTTGAGTTCATGATTTTGGGTTGATTAGAAACCTAAAAAATTGTTGGAAAATAAAAAAAAGAACACTTTAGTGTAAAATAGTAATTTGTGTTTTACTGGGATAAACTTCCTCTTCCATTGATTATCATATTTCAAAAACTCTAAAATTTGTCTGAAATCTTTCAAGTTGATCAGATTTGAACCAGTTGATTACCTGAGTAGATCAATTTTCTAAACAGTCACATGAAATAATGAACACCTTATTTATCAAGAGAACATCAACTATTAAGAAAGAACAAAAATCATATGATAAAATTCTTTTCAAATGTTGAATGCTTCGTAGTCTGAGTTCTAGAAATAAAATGAATTGGTGACACAAAAATATCAAACTCAATGTGCTAACGACAACGTTAAAGATTATACAAAAAGATATTAGATATTAATTTGTAAAGAAAGTTTTATGATAACTGTTAAAGAAAATCTTGGAGAAGATGGAATTCAACATGTTCTGCCTCTATAGATCCAAATGAAATGATCTTTTTTCGAAAAGACCCGCTTTTCAAGCGGTAGACTGACGAAACAACTGTAACTGGACTATTTTGTAATTAGAGAACAGAAACCATCAGAAATGTGAAAACTTAAAGTGTTAATGAAAGAATGTTTTTACTATACCTAAGACAATCTAAATCTTTGTTAAACGCAACAATTTATTATTTTTTTTAAGTATGCTGTTGGTGCAGGATTACAGGTTTTTCGATGGATTCCTAACTCTTACATTACATGGAGAAATATCCACTTCCTTATTCTACTTCGACAAAAACAAAAAAAGTATATCTCAGGAGATTATTTCATAATTTCATATCTCCATGCGTTTTGGGATCATGCATTAATTTAAAATCCAATCGTTCGATCGCTGCATTTTTTCTTACTATTTAGTGTCCTAACGACTGCTGTTATAGATTATGAGAGATATTTCGATGTGCTGATCCATTGATTTTATGACGGACAGTAATCAATGTAGAGTCGAAGTTGCGCTAAGGATTAAATCTAAATCATGTATAAATTGTGCTCGAGTTTATTTAAAATAATTAGATATTTCTTCTTTAGGAACTTTTGACTTGATAACCATTGAATACGTTTATCAATACTCTATATGAGCCTAATAGTTTTTGAATCTTTTCTACAATTCGACTTGTTATCTGAAGATTGTTAGTTGGAGTAGATGAGATAATGTCCTATTATTGAAAAATTAAAACGGAAGCCGCCCAGAAAACATGTTTTATAGAGTGTTGTATTCCGAAGATAAAGCGATAAGATGATGGTGACGAGAAAACAGAAATTTTAGAGAAACTCCATACATATAAAATAACATGCTCGGGTCTTTGATAATAAACTTTTGCGAGAATAGATACGAGCAATTTTGTCTTGATCTATCAACAGATTTTACGATGTAGAGAAGCTTTTTTTCTTCATAATAAAATCGAACATGATAGTTTTTCCGACATATTCTCATATTTATATAACTATTCTATCATAAATGACCTTGAGAAGCTTACTTTGGCAGAAAATCTTGCAAGAATCAATTTCAAACACTAACTAGACAACTTTTCAAGCGATTTTATTTCTTACTTAGTTGATTGTCTGTTTAGAAATAGTCTTAATGGTCGCTTCCGCATCCTATTCTTGTAGTATTATGACCATTTCGTTCGTTGTATTTTTTATGTTTTTATTCATGATCAAAGAGTTCATATTAACAAATCTAACCTGAGTGTTATCTTGCAGATAGATCTCATGTTTCGAACTATGTGGCAAAAAATGTTATTCAGTGTGCGATAAGGATGATTTTATATTCAAGCGAATCAACTCACAATTTAAAATACTGATTTTAATCGAAACTTTCGAGAAGTTTTAATAGTCATCATATCTCATAATAAACAATATGTTGTCTTGAGAATCCTTCTGTCTTTACTGATTACATCAAAAATAATAATCCATAATACACCAATTTCATTTTTAATGAGTCTAAATCCGAACATGTCTCCATTTACAGATAAAATCAATTTTCAAGAAGATGCTTTGGTTCTTAGCTAACTCTACGATACTACTATGAGTAGACAAGTTTCAATGAAAAAAAAACCGAGATAAATGTTATTTTAAAACAAAATACTGAAACTTTGCGACCCATTGACACATCAAAAGAAGAAGTTTCAGATTTTACCAATCCTTTTAAAAGTTACTAAGGATGACTCTCAACATCATTTAAGTCGCTCTTTGAGATGATTTTGTGGAATTTAATAGACTTGTGTGCTCAAAAAAATATAACAATAATTTTGAGTAAGTCACGACTGACTAGAATCAATTTCGTTGCTCAATTTATCAAGAATAGTTCAACAGATTGATTGAAACCTGTGCATAAATTTGTGTTTAGATTAAACACAAACGGGGCTGAATGTTCATATTTCGTTATAAATGCAGAAATATTTACTCTCTATATTTTGGTGTTAGCAGTAGAACATGGTAGAGT